CACACAGCCTCTTCCCAATATGCGTTTTTGCAATTTACATATATGCAAAAACGCATAAAAAATTAAGGACAAACCTTGAATGGTTCAAATGATCTACTGATGATTTTTCATTTTCAGTGTGTTTGATTTTGTCAATGTGCATCTGTTTCATGACGAATCCAATATTGCGCTCATCCACGAAGTTGGTTATAACTTAGTAAATGTTCTAAGTAAAAAAGTCAAATCAAAACCCCCTCTGTACTCGCCCATAGTAAGAGAGCGGAAAAACTCGAGAAATGGCGCAAATGGTAGCAAGTGCCGGCAGCAGCCATTCGCGGGCAAGTCTCTTCGAATGAATGGATGTATTTTTGTTGAACAATCTGACAGAGTTATAACAAAATTAACTGTCCTGATTAATATCCTTTTGAGCAATATTTTTAAATCAAATTAAGAGTATTTTCAGAATCCGGCACTTTACAGTGAAAATCGCAAAAGGGCATTAAATTTTGTGCTCAACGAAATAAAACGGGTCAGCGACGATGGCGGTCGTGCTCCTCCGCTTTTCTTATTTGGCGACTTGAATTTTCGACTTGATTTACATTCATTCTTGAATGTAAGCTTTATTAATCTCCTTGTCCAAGTGCCGGTGAAAACAGCTGAAAGTAGGTAATTCAGCACGGAAAGCCTCCGAAAAGATTCTGATTTATAGCGTATAACGGATGATACTGATTTACGGGAAGATTCTACGGAATCTACTCATACGAGTGTAGGCGCAGGCGATGAACATGGAAGCCTGTTAACGGTGGATTCGGCCAAGGATGTTCCAGGACTGAACGAACTCAAAAAAACGGCAGATCTCAGGCGCACTGTATCGGCAATCGAATTCCGACGATCGCCAAACAATTTTACAAATGATATTCCGTCCAGGTAAGCGGAAGGTATGCAAAACCTCATTAGGCTTGCTGTAACGTCATTCTGTGACAGCACTGTCTCGTTTTTGTATTAGTCAGTTCTCGGCAAATTTAATAAGCTGCTTAACTACAAATTTGAAATTAGCAAACGTTACAAAGCTAGTGCGAACAGAGACGGGGAGAAGGCACTTTGTGTATTCATTAAGCGTGCACTCAATTTCCTTCAAAAATTTTCTTGTATTACTGATAATAATTCGCATTTGCTCGTTCTTTTCTCTCGCTTTCCTATTCACTCTTGAAGAAGCTAAAGCGCTTGAAAAAAGCCAGAGTGATAGCAGATGTTTTCGAATAAAATCGTTATTAAATACTAATTTTAACAAAAAACTCGTACGGGCAATTTGCTTGCTGAAAATTGAAAAAACTTGATTCTGGCTTACGTTATTATAAATGTTCAGTGCTGCCATGCTTGAAGAACTGAAGCTGTCCCCAGCTGCTTCTAAAAAAAAATAATGTTCCTCCAGCGAGCATCGTAGCTAACAGCCACTGATGATGGCAGTATTATCGCCCAAAAAGAAGCTTTTATTGTTCTGATTTCTTCCGAAATGAAGCGTGAAAGGCAGAAAGAAACAAAGATTTATGCTGAAAAATAAATGAATGCATTGATTTTTAAAAAGAAAATTTTAGTTGTGTACTGCGAATTGAAAAAAAGCTCTTTGATTATTTTAATCACAAGCGACTGCTGAACGAGTGGCAGGGATATTTGGAGGATGATCGAGAAGTGCGCAATTTCCCGTGTCTATACGAGCTTAACATTAATTTTCCACCCACGTACGTTTATTTGTCCAGAACTTTTTGATTTACTAACCATGATTTTTTTTT